ATAATAAAACATAACAATTAAATTCAATTTAATTAATTAATAATTAATATATATTGAATGATATATATTGAACATATATTCACGTCATAGATGACTTCCTCACCTTTTGTCACCCTCTACGCCACCATCTTATGGCCTCAACATCTCGACTTCCACACTCCACAAACTCGGAGTCCCTCTCTCCCTAGAGAAAACAGAAGGCCTCAACACATCACTGGAGTTCTTGGGCATCACCCTTGACTTAGGGTCACTCCAGGCATCCTTGCCCCCGAGAAAATTCACCGCATTTCCTTGCTAATTTCCAATTTCCTTCTGGCCACCGTTGCACCAAACATCGTCTTTTCTCACTACTAGGCCATTTAACTACATCACCCGGATCCCACAAGGTCAGTCCTTCCCGTCACATCTCCTTTCCTTAGCCGCTTCCCTCCCATCTCTCCATGACCACATCAAACTAGACGCCGCATGCAAATGGAGCCTAAACATGGTTACATTTCCTTTCATCCTGGAACGCCACCTCCTTCTTCCACGACGACCACATCACCAAGCCAGAAGTCATCCAGCTCTTCACAGACGCTGCCCCTTCTGTCGTCTTTGGCTACTACGGCGGTAGTTGGACCGCAGTGGACTGGCCACCTGAATTTTCAGCCCTCCCTCCTTCCCCTACCTATTAACAGAGGACGGTCCCATTGCCCAGACATAACGCAATTCATGCAGAGGCTCACCTTGGTTTTCAGCACAGCACCAATTCATCATCTGAGCCAAAAACACTATCGCTGACTTTCTTTCTCGCTCAGATCGGGTTATCTGACTCTATACGTGGACAGAGTCCTAGAACACAAGCACACCTTTCCATCTGAAGTTCTCTTGGGGGTTTTCCGCACGTCCGCAGACTAAGAGACGGTTCCCCCACCCAGAGTCTCGACTCCACCGGTTCCCGTACATCTTCTCGCCAGCAGACACCGGTCTGCTCTTCAATCACGCATCCATCAGCGCAGATCCGACTCCGCCCCTTCATCCCTCACCTGTCTTCCCCTCAACCCTTCTTCCATCACACCTCGACCCCTACCCCTCATCCCTCGACCCTCTCCCTCATCCCTACATACTTCAGCCCACCCTCTGGGCACTCAATCCGTTCTTTTCGTACAATCTGTCTCGGCTCCATTACAAGCAATAAACCATTTTAAATCTTCTATGTTCTTAGGTGTGGTCTTTATAAGTGAAATGGGGATAAGATATTGTTGGTGCTAAGATAATGTGAGAGTTCAGTTCATTTATGGCATTCTGAACTTCATCTGGTATAATTTTACTAAAAGAAAAAGAAGTGTGACTGGGCGAATTATTATTAAAAAGCCAGTACTCATGTCAAATTTGGGTAGTAAGGTAGAACAAACAGAAGAGAAATGTTCATTGAATGCTTGAGCAATAGATAAAGAGTCATGTAGTATTGTATTAGCAACTCATATTTGATTAATACAATGTTTATCTGATGTACTGATGACGGTTTTAATTTTATTCCAGAATTGTTTTGGATTCTTAAAATCATATCTGACACTTTCCTTAAAGTAATAAGATTTTGCATTACAGGTTTTAGTCTTGCTTATATTTCTCAGCTGCCTGTATATTTCCCAATCAGCATTAGCTCTTGCACGGCGAATATTGAACATGCTTTGTCCCTCTGCCTAAAGAGACTAATAAGTTCAGAGCCGATCCAAGGGAGATGTTTACCCTTGACCGTAACAGTTTTCCAGGGAACATCTGTGTCAAAGACATCAATAAAGTCAGTATAGAAGAAATCCCAGGCGTCTTGTACATTAGGTATAAGTTGGTATCTGTCCCAGGTAATAGCAATCAGATCATTAACAAATTAATCTGAATTCAGTCTCTTGTGTTGTCTGATTTTGATATTTCTTGGTGGTGATTTAGGTAGTTTGATTTTCCATACACAGTAGACTATCAAACGATCACTAAGGCAGTCAGACATAACACCTACCCTTAGGAATCTAACTGGATGTGAAACAAGTATCCAGTTAAGCAGATATTGAGTTTTAGGGGTGATTCAAGTAGGCTAGAACTAGATCAGATGACTTATCTAACCAGTTTTTATTGAAATCCCAGAGCAAGATAATTTCATTTCTACATGAGATGGAGTTGATAGTGGAGATCAGGCAATCAAATGTTTCAACTGGCGAAGAGGGTGGTCGATATATGCTCCCAATAATTAAACATATATTTGCATGAAAAATAACCTTAACAAAAACACATACAAAATGTAGAGGCTAAACTGTGGGTATGGTTAACGCAGTTATCTCAGAGGAAACATAAAAAGCCACTCCTCCACCTCTGGAGCACCTATCAGATCTATATAGAGTATAATTTGGGAGATTAATTTCATTATCTGATATATTACTGTTAAGCCATGTTTCAGAAAGAGTGATGATGTTAGGTTTATGTAATACAACCCATGCACGAAGTAAGTCAATTTTAGGGATAAGACTCCTAATGTTCAAATGCACGATTTTTAATCCTTTAACATCATTCATTCAGAAAGCAAAAACTGATAATGTAACTACTGTCACCGATCAAACATAAGTTTAAAAGTAGTTGGATCCAAAAAAATAATACACAATTGTCGAGATTGCAAGATTCATTTGATACAATAAAGCAAAAACACACAAAAATAAACACAAAACAACAGCATTTCCAGAGTATTTCTGTGAGTTAACAAAGCTGTGTGGGTAAAGATCATCTATTAAGCTCAAGGCTCAATCTGCATTAATTAAGAAATAAAGGAGAGTGTAGCTCTACAAAGAAAAAAAAAAGACACTTTACAAGCAGCATTTAAAGTAAAGTAGGGGGCAATTGTAATCATACGCTAGGAGACTCCACCACACAAAGGGACAAGAAGAAAAGGAAAATCGTGATGCAGTCAGTTGCATCTAACAACAACTAACTATAAGTTAAGGTGTTGACTACAAGTCAACACCTTAAGAAACATTACAGCTGTGCAGTCACATATTTTAAAGAAAAAAAGGGAAGAGATCGTTTGCTGTTCTGTAGTGTTCTGTTGTAGCATTGGTTAAAGGTTTGACTGTGGAAGACAATTTGTTTTTACTTTTTTGTCTTAAAATGGCAGCTTGACAAGCTTTCCCTGCAGACTACACACATACATACTGTAAAAAGGTCGGTCAGAAGGTTTGAAGGAACTTTGGTGTTTTTCAGTCCTGTTATTCTTTTACCAGAGTTATTTTTGAGAGTCAGTATTGAACTGTGAACTCTGAAATCTGGGCAGTACATCCCTGCATGTCAGTCTCAGCACCTGGAACATATTAAAGCTTTAACTCTAACATCCTTGACAGTCACAGCTGTCTGTCCTGCCTGAGGAAAAAACCTCTTAAAATGTAACAACATATTTTAATTTAGGGCAACATAATTACACACCCTGTTCATCAATAGTGCTGCTTAGAAAGAAGTTCTTTCAGAAAAAAAGAGAATTAAAGCATAGAAATACCTCTATCAATTGGACTCCCTCTCTGCCACATTTTACTTTTCTCAGGCCTTTTGAAACTTCCAGTGCACCGCTCGCCCCGCTGAACATATTATCTTTTTAAATTAGTCATATGGTGGACAGAGGATGTTCACTGTGACCGTGTTATAGTTTTCATAGTTCAAATGGCTCTGCTTTGACTTTAAGGTAGGTTAGTACAGTGGATTTAGGACAAAAGCAAAGAGCAAAACATATTAAAAAGGGAAATGTGCTTTATTGAATTTTTTTACTTAAAAAGCTAAATAAAATTAAAACGAGGCAAGCGATGTATTGCACCTGTGCTTTATTCCTATGAAGCTGTGTCAAAAGGCTCCCACAAACATTCATGCAACTGCCTCATGAGAAACTAAAATATTGTATTTTTTCATATATTGCATCCCTGTAAAAAATTATAGAATGGCATTTTCCATTTCAGCTACATAGCTGATGCCCGAGTGGTTCAAAATTGGTTCAAAAATGTTTGTGCCATGGACTTGTAATACTGATTTATGACGTTTATCCTGCTGTACCTGGTCATAGATGTCATGGCACATTTTTTGTATCAGTGTTGTAATAAATCATCTTAAATATGCGTGGCCAAGTACCTGCCTGCCTTCAGCTATGAATTATACAATCACCAAAATCACATGATGCTTATGGTTGAATATTCACTATCTTACTCAAGCTGCCAAATAGAAGGATGAGACTCATACGTGTGTGTTTACACTAAGGGGAAACATCCCACAGGAAAATCAGACCAGTGCATTTCAAAAAGTATGGTCTTGAAATAAAATCCCGAGTCCTCAATGTCCGAGACTGAGACAAGACCGAGTACAAATGCAGACCATCAAAAAGTGGTCTTAAGACAGGTCTTGAGACCAAGATGGTATGGTATTTCAGTGCAAGGGTGAGTTGACACGAAGGGTTATATGGAATTGTCTACTCTACTCTACAGACTCAAAAAACAACTTCTGGAAATCTGATATGTGTAAAAGACCAAATGAATTCACAAAAGCCTTGATGCTTGGAACCTGTCTTATTCAGGTTAAACTGCCAGATGCTTTTCTTTCCTGCCATCACAGTGTCCATTAATGATCCAATTATTCCTGCCCACCTGTGCTCTCCTGTTCCTAGACTGAATGGCTCACCAGATAAGGAGCGTAAAAACATGCAGATACACCTTCCTCTTCCAGCAATACATGACTTCTAATAAAGAGGAAAGACATGTTCACAACAATTATAATAATACTATTTAGAGTTCTTGACAATATCTTTGTTAACATCTGCATACCCATAAAACTGAGGTTGTGCAGATAGCTGAATTAAGTTTCAGTCCCTTGGAGGAGGGAAGAAACGTCTTCCAGTATCTTCAACCAAGTCCAGTTGCCCTTGACTTTAACCTCCTTTGGATTACACATACTTGTTTGGATGTGTCAGAGGTTATGCCAGAACCCAGATGCAGACACGGAGACAATTCAGCAGTTAAACAGTTTATTGATTGAGGCAGGGTGAGCAAACTAGGCAGGGTGAGGTTGCAGGGAGTCTCCTTCCGAGCTGTAGGAACGTGAGGGCTGGCTGGCGTGGCTGGCTGGAGTGTGGCTGGGAGGGTTGGATCTTGGCTTTGAGAGACTTGGAACTGGTGAGAGGCTGAGCAGGTAGAGCTGGCAATCTGGAGACAGACAGAGAGAAATTAGTTAAAGCAAACTGGTTACTTCACTAACAGGCTTAAAGCTAGATGCTAAGGCAAGACCTACGGTATATAACTTAACAATCCGGCAGGGAATGGAAGTCTGGTCTCTCCTTAAGAAGAGGTAGGGATGGCTGATCAGGAACAGGTGCCTGATTGCCAGCAGGTGCAGCTAGTGTCAACTCAGGAAACTCAAAAAACTGAGAGAAGGGAGGGAAGAAAAACAGAATAAAAACACACCAAGCACACACAAAACACACTCACTCAGTCCCAAACTCAGACAGATGAGGAGTCATGACAGGATGTAGTTTAAGGTTATTATGACAATTTTTTTTTAACTTTTAAAAGTTTTTCCAAAGCAGATAAATGGCTGAGTAGATATTTTCTTAAACTATAAGCACACAAAATAAGGTAAAACAATACTCCTCGTAGCTAGCAAATAGTCCATTCATTTCAAGCGTGTCCCTTTATTCCTGACTCAGTTCCTCATTTCACTGGAATAACTGGTGCACTCCTGGATCACAAAAAAAAAAGATCCCTTCATTATCTTTCTTAATCAGACTCATCTCAGGAGAGGGGTCTGCAACCTGTTAGCTCTGTATGTGTGTGTGTGTGCGTGTGTGTGTGTGTGTGCGTGTGCGCGAGTTAAAACCTCCCTCTGAAATCTACTGAAGCAGTGCAGTATCTGATCAAAACCTCCACTACTCTGTATTCCAGTAACCGTTACAAAAATGGTGGAGCCAACTTAAATGCTGAGAAAAGTATACACACTACTCTGCTCAGAGAAATATCATTGACCTTTTCCAAGGATCACAGAATAGATTACAGGCTTTACTGCAGTCCAATTTCCCTTTGGTGAAACATCCAGACTGTAGAAAGGTCACTGGGGTATTTCACTTTAGGACAGAGCGCTTCAAAGGTTATAGAGAAAAGTCTCTTTGATTATCATTCAGTACTAATTATGTTTTTTGGAGTGTACAAAGTGCAGGTCAAAACAGCAACTTTACTGCAGAGGACAGATCCTTCTATTACTTCCATGAAAAAGCAATGCCAGAAAAAACAAAAACTTGCTCATTGTGGCAGCAGAAACATTTGTTTTCTCCTCCCATTCAAACAATTTGTGGTTATCATTTTAACACAACAGGCCAGAGGACATATTGCGTTCGTGCAGTTCGTCTCATGAGGAGCCTCTAGACTTGTATGCTTGTTTGGCCAAACACACAGCCCTCTTTTGGAAAGAAAGAGAAAATAAAAAAACTTTCAGACCAGAAGACTATTGTCACACTCCTAAAATCATGCTTTAGTATGTTGTAAGATTCATAGAGTGATGATCTTTCTTTAGAAGACAAATTAAAGGATCATTTCAGTATTTTTAAACCTGGGCCCAATTTTTACATATTTTGGTGTCAAAATTACTAGCAGGTACAAAACTTTCTGGAACCCATGTGGTAGACGGCTTCAGTCAGCGGACTCGAACCGGCTGTAGTGGAACGTATTCCTTGGATCCCTACCATTGATTCCTGGTAACACCCATTGTTTTTAACAAGAAACAGAAGTCTCACTCAAGGACAATTCTCACTCTGAAATCTCGTAAGAGGGGAATTGTTGCAGGAAGGCAACAGTGTAAATGTGAGTCAGAGTTGGAGAGAGGAGTTTGTTGTAGCGGAAATAAAGCCTTGCTTGCAGTTCCTCTGCATACACAACAAACTCCTCTCACTCGTTTCCACCTGCATTTCCTGCAACAAAAATAAGGCCCAGGTTTAAAAATACCGAAATAATCATATGATATTATGATGATCATATAATAATTCATATGTAATAAGACACAAATATTTACATTATACGGAATATTCTCTCCTATTTAAAGTGACTTACAATGAAACAATGTTACTTTTCATGTAATATTAATAAATGTTTTATCAACAAAACATATGTCCTGAGAGCAAAAAGTAGACTTCAGAAAAATGGTTCTTTTTATTTCATTTGTAAGACAGGTGCACATTAATGCATGACCGTGAAGGAGGTGAATCGCTCCCTCTCACAGAAGAGACGGGTTTTCATGCTATAACAGGGAATTATAAGTGCCTGCAGTTGGGAGGTCATTCTATTTCCATTGAGCCGGAAGGAAAAAAAGTCAAGAAGACTAAGCGTAACAGCGGCCAGTTCATTGGCCATTTACAGGAGTGATGTAGGGTTAAATTTGGTCTTTCATCTGCCTTATAGGTCTGGGCAACCTTGTTTGAAATGGATATGAGCAGCCACTAAGAGAGTCAGTGAAGTGAAAGAATTTAAGATACTGGACGAAACACTGGAAACATCATCATCAAGTGCTGCAAATGATACGACAAAATACATAGTCTGTAATTGCCTTCCAGACCGACGCATTTAAGAGTTTTCTGATCTGACGCTGTTATCGGCAGGACGACATTGTTCGCAGTGTCTTCCAAAACTATTACAAATCACAAAAATGTATACATTTTCTGATCTGACACCTTCTATGATTAAAGTTTGATTTGGTGTAGGTTTAAGCTTGAAACAGTAAACTTTCTGGAGTCCAGCTCCTCTCAACTGGAGTCAGGAAATAGTCTGAGACATAACACTCGAATGGCGAATTGAGTTTTTTACACTTTGTTTTTCACATGGATTAAACAATTAAGATATAAAAAGGTTGGTAAGTGGATTTTGTTATCTTTCGACAGAGTGAGGCTAGCTGTTTCCCTCCGTTGCCAATCTCTGTGCTAAGCTACAGTAAGCTAACCGTCCGCTGGCTGTGTCCTTTTAGCTATTTAATGGATGGATGTGAGAGTGGTAACTATCTTTTCATCTAACTCTCCACCAGAACGAGAATAAGCAGATTTCCCAAAATGTCAAACAATTCTTAAAAAAAAAAAAAGAAGTAGGAAACAGGAAGTTAACAGCAATCTCCTGTGTCAAAGTCTGACATTTTGCTGGCTCTTCTAAAACCTCCACCCTCTGTATACTCTGTGGCTCAACAACATCTACTTCTTCCTTTCCCCCAACAGATAAGAGTCATAAGGGCTGCTAGATGTCTTTTTGGGCATTTAAAAAAAAAACCAAATTATCCAATTATTAGTGATGAGCCCAGTAATTTTCCTTTAGAGCTCTTACTGACCTGTACTGCTTCACTGTCACAACATACAGCAGAGCAAAATGTGTGACTTACTATATTTGTCTTCATCTGTTGTCCACAAAATATTCCTACCATCTTTATATTGTAGACCCTTTGAAATGGATGCCCAAAACAGTGCATGAAGAACAGGCCAAACTTTGTCTTTAAACCTGGATTGAAAGCACTTGAGTGAGCATAAATAAATTCACTTTGTCTGGCTGGCAGCTTGGTGTGGTACAAAAGCCAAGAGCGGCCATTTACAGTAATGAACAAAGGTGCAGCAGAAACAAGCTCCCTCCTTGCTGTGCCAAGATGTGTCGGCACATTTTTGCCATTCTAATGGCACTACTTAAACTAAATGCAAAGTCATTTCAAACAGCTAATAATAGCTCATGGAGGCTTCTGAAAGAAAAAATGCTTCTGACAGCAAAGTAATTAATATGAGGTGACAAAACACTTCATAAAGCATCTCATTCTATGGTCTGGATTTAATTCAGATACTAATGTACCAATATTATTTATAGATTGTTTTATTATTTGAAGCCTGACAAAGCCTGCTGTTAAATACAGAAATGAAAATGACATTTAAGTGGCCGTAAAGATAGAGGACAGACACATATGCCACTGCATAGGAAACTTAATGACTGACACCCATCAAGAGTGAAAAACCCACAACCAAGTTTAGAAGAAAGAAGCAGAGAGAGGCTAAAACTTTGGAAAGAAACTCAGTACATGGAGTCTAAAACCTCACAAAGCATAAAACAAAATACAGAATGGAGTATGATGAACAGACAATGAACACTAAGTACAGCAATTCTTTATTTATTAGGTATAATATTAGCTAATGACATTTCTATAGCTCCTATCTCATTCAGCTTGATGTGAAGAGGACGAGTCTTCAACCCTTAATCATACCCTCTAGTTACTGTAATAGCTCTAAAAATCCCTTCTCTTCTCTTAGGTCTCACTTTATCACTTTTCTCAGCAGTCCTTCTCTTGATCATTCTGGGGTCTTAGGAATAATGTCGTGACATGAAGGCTTGTTATAAATGGTTGCTTATTGGTGAGGTGCCATGTAAATAGCAAAATGTAAAATGTAAACGTAAATCATTAGCACTACCATAACACTCATTAGCAGGTTTCCTAAAAATACACTGTTTTGCTTATTTGTTTGGTTTATTTTTGTTTTGTATTTTGCCACAATCACAATCAAATTATTGTCAAACAAATGATTTCCCAGTACTTCCTGTGGCGTGGCATTTTATACACTTTGCACAAATCATTATTGTGAAGACATGCCGTAGTCGTTCCACTCAAAACTCACCCTATCCATTATAAACCTTTTCCCACGGCAGCAGAATCAATATAATGCAAGTAATTTCCTTCAGTTTGAAATGCCACGTGTCAAACAGTCTCAGAATTCCTCACTGCTATCTGAGCGTCAGGCGATAGTTTAATGAGATCTTTCCCTTTCCATGAACAGCTTTATGTAATCTGTGGGGTCACACTAATTTTGCAGGGCATGTATTCTATTCTGTGACGCAAATTGTTTAAATGGTCCCTTGTGGAATTTAAATGATGCTTTTGTCTTATCCCCATTATAGACTGATAATGGTTTGATTGCTTGTAATGTTTCTACAGCAGAGAATATCTGGTGAAATGGTAACTTACACTCTTACAAATGGGACTGCAGTACACACAATAAAAAACAGTCTGGTCAAAACACTCAATGTTACTTTAAATGTTGTGTTTATAGATGTGAAACCACACATTTAGGCAGTGGAAAATGTGAGCGCTGAGAATGATGCTTAGTTTTTATTGAATTGTTCTCTGCCTCCACTTCAAAGGATTGAAAAAGCTCTGTGATCACGCCATCTCCACTGAAGTGTTTCACAGAAAATATGTCTGAATATTAATTGAACCTGCTCTCTAAAACCCCATGGGAGTGCTCAATAAATGCAGATGACTGAATGAGTGAGAGGCTAAAGACTGCCACTTCATTGGTTAACTATCCCACAATTACAATTCTCCATAAAAAACAGGGTTCATCTACCTGCGACATGAATGCTGTTATAAAGTTGCCATGTGACCATGAAATATGACCTATTTAAGTGCAGGTCTGAGACGAGTCATCGCACTCTGTGGTGTTCAATTAACCTATGCGAGGTGGGGAATGGGCACAAGGAGATGGAGTTCAATCAACCAGACATTTATGCATAGGAGAAGTGCAGTTGCTTTGATATCCACATAATCTATTACATCAACAGTGATCTATTCTTATCTTCAAAAGGATAACTTGTTGTTGTGGACATTTCTGTTTCCAACACTTCCATTATTTGAAGTTAAAACAGAAATTTTAAACGTTTACAAGCC